AATATGCAAATTCATGTTTATCTTAGAAAATTTTGAATAAAAAAACTATAATTTTTTGCAGATATGCTTAGAACTACACCCACTTTAAGATGATGGTAAAAATTTTAGGGGTTATAATTCAAAATTTTTTCGAAAAATTTATAAAATTATTTAAAAATAAAAATTTTAAAAAGAAACCACAAAAAATGGGTGAATTTGATTTGAAATGAACCTAAATTTCGAAATGTGAAAGGAAAAAAAAAATAAAAAATGCATATACAGTACAAAGTCTTTAATCCGGACTCGTCGTGACTTCGGCGATTCCGTATTAGGGGTTTTTCGAGATTATAGATCATTTTAAATCTAGTAAGATGGCATGCAGAAATCATACAATTAAAAATATGAAACCGTAATTTATGAACTAAAGAGCAATTATCATCTAAAGCAGGGGTGGGCAAATACTTTTAAGCATGGGCCAAAATGAAATTTTTAAAATGTCTCCCGGGACAGAGTACTATACCGCATACGCTCTGCACACGCAAATGTTTTGGGTGGAGTTTTTTCCCTGCCCAAGAAATTTTTTGACAAAAACACTATAAGTATCATTTTAAACTTTAAAATTTAAAGCATTCGGACAGAGAAATTCGACAGTTAATGGAAGATAATAGTAATAATAAATTGTCTTACTTAGGTGTATATGCAAACAATTTGTGCCTAGTAAAATATGTCACATAATTTTTAAAGAAATATGATCGATTATATTAAATTAATGGTCATTAAATAAATCAGTTAAGGAAAGATTTTATTTTGATATTTATTTATATCTTAACGATACAAGTTATTTTATTTTGATCATAGTTATTACATTTTTATATTTATATTACATTTTGTAAATATAATAGTAAATAGAATTACAAAAAGAAAAGACAAACATCAAACGTTAAAATAGAATAGTTTTAGTTAATGTGAAACATGAAATCTGGAATGTTCATTTGATATTATTTCTTCAATATTTGGATCCAAATCACTTATAGCAATCCTTAATACCGAGTGTAGATTTTCATCAGTAATTTGTGATCGATATTTATTTTTCGTGTAAATCATTAACGAAAAAGTTCTTTCGCAAATATATGTTGAACCAAATAGAACTAGGTATTTTTGAACATAGTTCAAAAAATGTTTGAAATGTTCTGTATTCAAAGCACCGAAGAAAACACTCAACTTGTTTGAGTGAAAATTTTCTTTTAGTAAATTATTTGACTGTAAGTCAATTAGTTCTAGTTGAATTTCAAGAGGAGCTTCTTGCATGTCAAAATTGAAAGGTTGACTAATTAATGATAAGGGTTTTTCAATAGCTTTGAAATCTTGTAATCTTCTTTGGAATTCAGAATGCAGGTCTTGTGTTATTGCACTATATTTAAGAAACTCGGTATTTTTCAATGGTTCTCATCGTGATTGTAATGAAGGGAAATGATTTAGTAATTTCTTATTAAAGTTTTTAGCAAATAAATTGAGTTTTATCATAAATGCTTTGACGTTTGAGTGCATGTTGAAAGCGAATTAGTTTTTCCCATGTAGATTTATATTTAGTTCATTCAAATATTTTACAATACCTACTGCAAATGAGAAATCGTTTAGCCATGCCTCATTTTGCAATTCAGGAAAATCATGTAGTTTTTTTTTTTTTTTTTTTTTTTTTTTTTTTTTTTTTTTTTTTTATCGACAAGAAGGATACTATTTCATCAAGTAAATATTGAAACCTGTCCAAAACTTTAGCGATGCTAATGCTATCGCACTTTAGTGTAATAAGGAATTTTGTAAAAGTCACTTTCAATTTCTTTTAAAAATTCAACAAACTGTCGATGATTTAAGGCACGTCCCCGGATAAAATTCACAACTTTTGTCACAACAGTAACGACGTGATTCCATTTCAAGACTTTTCTACATAACACTTCTTGATGAGTAAATGCAGTGTAAAAATAATATATCCTGTTCTCGCTGCAACTCTTTTACTTTGTCGCTGATTCGTTTTAGTAAACCCACATTTGTCCCTGTTAAACTAAGAGACCCATCCGTAGTGATGCTTACTATTATGTTCCAAGTTAAATTTACTTTAACTAAACACTCTTCAGTAATAAAGAAGTCTTTACCGGTACTTATATCTTTCATTGGATGCACACTAAGAAGTTCCTCGCTAATTTCACATTTCTTGTTAATACCTCGGATAAATATTAATAATTGACTTGTGTCAATAATATCGCAGGACTCATCTGAAGCCAGAGAACAATATGTAAAATCAGTAATTTTTGTTCTTAGCTGGTCAAGTAAATTTTCTGCAATATTTTCGATCCGTCGTACTATTGTTCTTCTTGAAAGGCTTACATTTTCAAAAATATGCTACTTTTCAGGACAACATATCTCCGACACTTGTATCATGCATTGTTTAACAAATTCTGCTTCAGTAAAAGGTTTAAAGAACTTAGCAATTTTGTGTGCAACAGCATAAATTGCTTTTGTGGTAGATTTCTCGATATTACTCTGTTTGGTACAAATTACTCTGTTTTTTGTCATGTTTTCTACTGCACTTTTAAGTTCTTTTAAAGAAAGTGATGCATATTTTGGATGTTTTTGATTTAAAATGCCTGTTTAAATTGTATTCCTTGAAAACAGCAATTGTTTCCTGGCAAACTAAATGAATTGCTTTCTTATCAGTGTTTGTAAAAAGGTATTTTACCATCCATGCTTCATTGAAATTTCTGCACTCCAAATCAACTTTTCTTTTTTTAGATTGACTATTTTACAAAGGCCTACAAATAAATAATTTAATTGTTACAATAATATATATATATATATTATCAAGAAATATTATTATAAGCAAAGTTGTAAGAACAATACAAAAAAGACCAATTTTGGTCAAAATTTTTTTGCGCAATGTGCTGCAAAATTAAGGAAACGGGAAGAGAAATTGTAGTTAGCTCCCCAAAAAGTTACCAAAAGCTGTGGCTCCAAGAAAAATCCAACATATGCATATTCAGTAGTTTTTACAAGTTCGAATAAAAACTATAAGTGAAAGATTATCGGTAATTTTAACAGAGTTTTAAAAAAACTAATTAAATTGAATGAAGTGACATATTAGGATACAAGTGAAGTAAAATGTAAATTATAAAACACAGTAAAATACTAATCGATGGAACAAGTTAAAGGCAAAAAATAAAATTCAGTAAAAAACCAATCGATGGGACAAGTAAAAAATATATTAACAATTAAAATGCGGAAAATGGTAAATTAGCTTAATTCGAGGTGCACTCTGGCTTTTCAAGGGAAATTTTCTGAGTGAACAAGCTAACTCCAATACGCGTTTCGCCGAAACAGACAATTGAAACTTTGCGTTACAAAATTTTTTTAATTAATTAAAATAAACTGTCCTAAAAATTTTTTTTTTAGTCTCAAAAGATATATTTTATAAGGATGTTACGGCATAAAAGAGATTTAAAAAATTGCATGCAGTATTTTTCATCGTGCTGGATAAAATAAGGCCCACCTCTGATCTAAAGAGTATCAAAATTTATAAATAAATAAAAAAAAAGCTTAATATTTGCTTACTTTATTAAACATTTCTTTCAACGTGCGCATGCGTAAAGCATACATTAAGTCAAAATTAGAAAATTGCAACTAGAAAACTATTTGATGTGTATTTGTGATATTTATAATGACAAGGAAATTGATTTAAATCATATCGGAGTACATCGAGATGAAACACTACATTTAGTAAGGAATTATAAGCAGAATAAAATAAGAAATCTGCCCCGAAGATGAGGATAGTGCTGACAGATAAACTTCCAGCTCATTGCACGCCGCTACGTCCCCCCCCCAGAGCAGCATGAAATTGATAAACAGATTTTGGAATGGTTAGAGAAACAAATCACCTCTCTCACACTTTCTTCATGCTTTTATCCATTTTTTGCAGCAATTCCACTTTTTGTTTAATGGACATCGAAACATGCTTTCACTTTGTTGATCCTTTGGCAGCTCCAGAATTGGAAACTCTTTGACATAATTGAAAGTTCATGCTTACTTTTTATAAAATTGCTCTAACAGTCTGCAAAAAATAATAAGCCGGATCCAATTAGAAGATTGAGGAACAATGCAATCTGCAACATTAACTGAAATAGATAATTAGATAATTTTAGCCTAGCTTATACCATCCGTTATACATTAAACGCACGTGCGTAAACGGATTATGCGCATGCGTAAAGATATTATGCGCATCTGTAAATGCATTATGCGTTTTTGCATGCGCAGAAAGTTTGTAGCTTTGAGGTCCGGATTAAAGACTTTATACTGTATTAATAAATATATTTCAAATTTAATTAACACTGAGGAGCTAAAACTTTGAGAGCTAATTTTTTAAAATCTACTTGTATGATTTTTACAAAACTTGGCAGTCTGGCATAATTTGAGTCATAGAATCGAAATATGTAAAAAAATTGATAAGTTATTTCAGAAAAAGTCCGATTTTGTGTCAAAATACCAATGTTAAAATAGTGCTATGTATAAATCTAGTATATATTCTAAGTCGCGCTTTCGAGACATGAAAAACTCAATTTGAATTTTGTCAATCGGCCCAGTAGAACAAGAGATATAGAACTGTACCCCCTTTTTTTTTGCGCAGTGTACTTTAAAAGTAACATGCTGTTGTGTGGATTCTGTATTCTTCCATTCACGCTGCACCTGTACGTTTTTGGAAATTATTACTTTTATATGGTAACTTACTTAATATTAGTATACTGTTAATTAAAATATGAGTTCATCTTTATCATTTTCTTGACATTAATTTTGCCTGTGATTAAAAAGCTAATTTTTTTCTTTTGAAATTAATGAAATAGTAATTGATCTCTGTTGCTGATTGACATTTGGAATTATTTTACAATTTCATGTTGGTTAGATTGTTTTTGTTGCTTATTAACAGAGTAAGTATAAACACGTTATGTAAAGAGGCATTAATCATGTTGACTTTTTAGTGCTGTATTATCATCAAAATATCTTGGTGAAAGACTGAATTTACTTGGCAAAGTAGGATGCTTTTTATGTGTTATTGGTTCAACAGTTATTGTTTTGCATTCGCCAAAGGAAGGAGCAGTTGACAGCATGGAACAACTTGGACAGCTGCTATTTGAACCTGGTAATTATATGTATTTTATTAATATAGTAAAGATGTTGCTATAAAGTATGTAATGGAAGCTGTGCTGTTTATATTTGTAACATAAAATCAAGTAAACCCTAAACATTAATGTTTGTAGGAATGCAGTAAATAAATATGAATATTTGCATATTTTCAGTTTCGTTAATACAGCATTTCTTTAATTGTGTTCTACAGAACTCTAGGGTTCCATGGAGAACACTCAACGGTTCCACGAAACTTCCCTACTTTTTCATAACATTTTCCCAAAAACTTTAAAATAGCAGTAAAAATTAATGCCTAAAAAAAATTACTTCCTTTTACTAAACTGGATAGTTGATGCAAATGTAACAGTCTAACATCATCATTTATGATGGCATCACGAGGAAAGTTTTTAAACTGGGTAGTCGATGCAAATGTAAGAGTCTGATGTCACGATTTATGATGGCATCACCAGGACAATTTTTTGCATTTTACAGCAGCCAGGCTGGAGAATCACCCTGTAGATGTTTCTCCAGATCATTCCTGTATTGATTGCTATGATGGGAAATCCCACATTGATAAATACAGAGGAATTCCATATACTTGAGTGCTGCTAGTAGCCAAAGTAGTAGTCACTTCTCGATGTGTGCATGTTATAAAATATAAATTGATTTGAAAGTTTTTTATTTTCATTTTTTGTTCAATGATAAACTTCATTGGTTTTTACAACATCCCATCAGACATTCTCTTCCTTAAGATTAGAAGTAAAAAAAAACACATCTTCGGAACCTAAATGTAAATTATAAGGAAATCCAACTGGGGTAGCAGACTTTTTGGTAATTACATGCACAGGTACCATGGGACAACTGCATTAATGTTTCTACTGATAGAGCAAAGGTCATCAGTGGCATAGTTAATGGGGCTGTACAGCTTATTAAAATTATCATCAAAGCCTGTACTAGTAACCAATGCATGACACACTGGCAGGTAATTGCTGAAAAAAAAATTTGTCCCCCAGTTATAAGATAGTTCTTGATGAGATTATCAAAGTCATTAACTTCAGAAAATCTGGAACTCGAAATAATCGTTTATTCAAATTACAAATTTTGTCAGAATGCAATTTCTGATTAAAAAGTTGATTATTTGATAGAAATTGGTTATTTAAGCAATATGTTTGTAAAGATTGGTTAATATCTCTTTAAAATTTAAAGGGTTAACTCAGGACATAGAGGTAAATATATTTACTGCTCACGAAAACATTCTTGCTTTCAGGAAAAAGATAGAATTCTGAGCAATCTTTGTGTGCTTCAATGACTTTGATTCCTTCCCAACAATAAAAGTCTTTTCAGAAGAGGAAGGGATTGAAATAGGGAGACATTTATTGAGGACATTATTCAGCACCTGAAAGGTTTGAATGAAACTTTTAATCAGTATTTTCCAAATGAACAGCAGATTAAATATATCAAAATTGTGGATTGAAATCCCATTTGTTTTAGTTAAGATAATATGTAGAATAATGATTATTGGAGATGTTAATGCAAGAAGAATTGGCATAATATTCATAAATTTGTGCAGGTCTAGTTTCAAATGTTGAAACATAAAACTTTAGTCCAAAGCCTAAAAATTAAAGGAGATATTGAATTAGACTTTTAATTGTAAACTGTGTCTTTATTTTGAAGTATAAAAATGTACAGTGTGGTTTGGATATTGCTTCAAGATTATACGACCAGGCATTTGAAATTAGAAGATTTTTACATGAGAAGATTGTAGGGTTTATTTTAATTTTCTAATAGTTGTTTTGGAACAAACCTTTCCTTTCTCATTTTCCACCTACGTCTCCTTACCAAATGAGTTTTAAGGATTATGTTTTATGTAAATGAGGTAGAAACAAGTATTTAAGTTTGAAGTCTAGCTCACTTCGCTTGAAAAGCATAGAAGCATGTGTATGCCTTTCAGCTATGTTGTTGCTCCTAGTCTCATCTTACTGCTATTCAGCAGTTACATGCATGCAGTTACTGTTACATGCCTGTTAAGATTTCACCAGTGATCTTAATTAAGCACCAACTCTGTTAGTTAACTCTGTGCAGCTCCGGCTGGATTAGTTAGTATTAGATTAGTTTTTTATTTTCTGTCTTAAAGCTTTTCAGCTTTAAATAAGTTTAAGAAAGGGTTGTCTGTTCATTTATTTGGGATGGAAGAAAGAGTAAATTTAACCATTCAATGGACTGAATAGAACTGTGTGATAAGTCACCATACAGTTCTTCAGTATTCTAGCTTTCAAGGAACACTAATTTAGCTAAGATATTGCAAGATACTTTACTGAAGCATCTGATTTTTAAGACTGAAAAGAATATGAAAGTCCTTGAGGAATGACAATTGAATAAATAACATAAAAAAATCTTAATCTCATCACTTCTCATGAGGAATTACATCTGAAATTGAATTCACAGATGTTTAATCAAATAATGTATTGGATAGAACCCAACACGTATTACAGTATTATAAGGAAAAACAGGCACAGTTCCCTATGTATTACAGGATTATAAGGGAAAACAGGCACAGTTCAGTTGTTGACCCAGTCCTGTAGGTGGTCAGCGCAGTTGTTACTGAATGTACTGATAGTTTATTTTGCTGTTTTGTGTTACTCTCGGGTAGCAAAAAATGTCCTTTTCAGGACCTGACTGCCCCGACTCTCAAGATGATGATCTAAGTGACTACACCGATTCTGAAAGATCGACTTTATCACAGCCTGTATTCTTCAGAAGAGACAAATTTCTTAGCTTAGGTCGCACAGCTAAGAAAGGCAAAAAAAAGAAGACTACCTGATCAAGATCTACCGAGCAGATTGAACAGTTATTAGGCAATGAAACAGACGAAGGATGGTTAAAATTCATTAAAGGAATAATAAAAGACTTTGGAATTGACGAAGCAGTAAAAATCCTACGAACGTGCGGTTATATCAGCGACGGGAATAAATCCAAAAAATCTCATAAAGAAATGCAAAATTCACATCCTGAAGTGGAGAATGAAGAAGAATGGATAAAACCAAAGTCCAGAGGAATCTGTTCTGTTGGAACTAAGTCAAGATGTTTGAAACTGTAGCAGAAGCAAGCGAAGAAGGAGGAGCGAGGCCAGCAGAAACGCCTCTGCCTCTTGTACTGCCGCACAACACCATGGACTGGATGGTGATAAACGAACTTTTCCGAGACTATTGCACAGAGGAATACGAATCAAGTTTGTAGCAAAGACCAATTTTCGTCTATACGAAAAACCAACTGGATTCTCGAACTATGACTAAGTTAATGAAGGAGCAAAACGTTTCATACATAGCAACTGCACAGTGAAAAGCCAATCAAAGTAATAATGAAAACCTTGCCTGCCTCTATGAAAGAAGCAATTCATAAAGACTTAGAACGAAGTAAGTTCCCAGTGATGAAAGTGAAGCAGTTCACCAGAACCAGGAAAACAATTTCGAGAAACTCCCTATCTTCCTGATTGTGCTGAAGAAAATGCCCATGACAGGAAATTCATAAATTACCGTTAAAGTATGTAATGCAGTTATTTCATAGAATACCTAGTTATTCCATGAAATAACTGATCGTGTCTGTTAAAGTGTGTAATGTGTTAATAATTTGACACTTTAACTAGTTATTCTATGAAATAACTAGGTATTCTATAAATTAACTAATGAGAGACAGTTAAAGTGTAAAATAAACAATTTATCTAAAATGAAATAACTAGGTATTCTATAAACTAATGATAGACAATTAAAATGAAAAGAAGCAATTTATCTAATTTATAGAAACGTACCATAAAATCATTTGTTACAACATGGATTACTAAAATTACACTTGGAATTACAAAGAACATTATTTCTAAAACACGAACATTTTTTAAATCCCTGACCAGTACCTAAACTTTGAGCTGTAGCAACCGACCGAAGCGATATTTCTACATCCGGTACTTCTTTGATTTTAATTAATTTTTGTTCGCAGACACTGAACTGGGATCGGGAATAGACCATTTTTTGTGCCCAATTGGGAAAATTCCTTCTTCAGTTATTTTTATGATGATGGCTAAAATAGATTTGGCATCACCTTTTCCTCTGTCAACTTCAGGCACTGGGATACAAACACTAAACCCCACAGAGGCTTCACAGTGAGATTTATCCAACATTAATTTCATATTTTTCGCTTTAATTTCTAAACATTTTTTAGACTTTTCTCTTGCTCTCTTTGAACATTAAGTTCATTCAAACACAATTTGCAGATTTTCTGCTCAACTTCATCTTCTGAAACATAATGTTCCGAACATGATATATGGACAGGCTCCATACATTTGAAGCAAACTATATGTTCACTGCATTCTTTTAAACAGACAACACATACTTTCGTAATGGGATTATTTAATACTGTTTGTTCAACTACTTTTTCATTATCAGGTTGAGAAGAAACATTCATTGCAGTCAAAGTATTTTGTAATTGATCTTCGTCGGCCAACGAATTAAGTAATTCTTTTGGAATGGCAGTTGTTGACAGTCCAACTCTAGCTGCACAGCCAAACATAGCCTCGTAGGGGGACCTTTTAATACCAGAATGGAATGCTCTGTTCTTCATAAACTGGATAAATTTTAACCCATTACTCCACGAAGTTGACTGGTTGTCTTGCATCCAAGTCGTCAACATATCTTCTATGTTCTGATTGGCTCTCTCAACACTGCCTTGGCTTTGGCTATGTCTTGGTTTGCCATGCACAATCTTAAGCTCTGGCCAACTTACTTTTAAGTCATCAATAAGTTTGTTACAAAATTCTCTTCCATTGTCCGACTGCAATATACATGGGGCTCCAAACAACAGGAATGTGTCAAGCAACTGTCATGTAACTTCTGCTCTCTTTGTTTGAAGAGGTCTTAAAACCACAAACTTTGTAAAGTGATCTTGATAAACTAAAATAAATTTATAGTTTCCATCAGATTGTGATTGAAAATCTATGAGGTCAATCTGACATCTTGAATTTATATG